GGATCAATCGCCTCTCGCGAGAAAGCGGGTTACGCGCGAGCTAGACAATCTTCCCCGGCCGGGTCGATTTCGTTTTTTTTCCATCCTCGATTTCGTTTTTCCCATCCTCAATTTTCCGATTTCCGAACGTCCGGAGCACACAGCTAACTTTAATCCCCGAGGGGCCGTCCAGGGGTCTGATTCCGGAAAAGTGTACTTCATACAAAAAACTAGAGAAATCTATAATATACATAACGCATGTCATAATATTTCCGTGTATTTTTATACGTGATATTTATCAAGAATTTTTCAGGCCTTGGGATGCGTTCCGTTTCACGAATGATGCGTATGACGTATCATTTTATCTTTAATATTCGATGAAGGGGAAAATACATCATGAATTTAAAAAAATTATGTAAAATGAATAGCATTATTTTAATTGAAAATAATTTATTTATTCAATAACACTCAATAAAACAAATAAAATTTTATCAAAACACGAGCATAACGACGTATTTGTTTCATTAATAATGTTATAGATATTCAACAAAAATATTTTCAAATTAATAAAATATTAAAATATATTGAAATAATGCTGTTGATAAAACATTGTACTTTTTCAGTGTGTGCATCATACGTGAAACGGAGCTCACTCCTGTACTCGATTCTGTAACTTTTGACGATAATTCGATATCGTTACATCGTCATTACGCAGTTTGTCTTTTTTTGTTAAAAAAAAAAGCTCCTCCCAACTCCACTGTATAATACCTGCGAAACGACAATAATAATAATTATTATATGTTAAGAATTAATAATTATTGTATGTTAATAATATATGACAATAATAATTATTATATGTTAAGAATTACAAAATCGAGAAACGTCCTTAAGACTGTGTCACACTACGCTTTGAGATTAAAAATTCCGAATTGGAGATTAGAATTCGGCCAGTCAGATAATTTTAATTTCAATCCATTCCGTTTCAACTGGTTGAATTCTAATCTCTAATTCACAATTCCAAATCTTCAATGCGGGATGCCAAGAGAGATAAAACGACATTTGTACCGACTTGTGTCACTAATGCCCATTTCTCTACCAATGTAATTTACCAATGTAATTTTAGTCTCGGTTCAACTGACTCTTCAGTTTTTTCTAGTTCTACGAATTAGAGAAAAATTAGGAGTAAGTTGAATCGAGATTAAAGTTAATCTACATTCGGTGGAAATGGACCTAAATGGAAAGCGCCAAGACACATTTTACACGGGCTTTAAGACGTGGGCCATTCTCTGGATGTCTTCAGGACGTTCTGCCATATGGGAAGTTTTTCGAGTTCGAGACCACAGACTAGTCGATCGATTGGATTACAATTCTCGATCCGCATCGCAATCAGAACTGCGATCTGGAAGGGGCCGAGGTATCGCGAGTTGCGAGTTAATTACGACTGTTACGGCAATCAGTCGCATCGGCGGTTTATGACCGGCTAATTCCAGTTAACGACTGCTCCCGACCTCATTCCGTAGCTAAAACATTAAGTTTGCTCACTCAAGTTTCGCTTTCCTAGCGTATATTATACTCGCGATATTTAGAGAAGGAAGACGATAGAGGGAAACGAAAGCGCGAGAAACGAAGCCCAAGTTTAAAAACTCGAGTGCGGCGACTCGAGATATCGCCTAATGCCGTGGACAAAAAGATCGATACATCGGCAACTTCGCGCGGTTAGTCGGAACAATTTCAAATTGAAGAAGTGACATCGTTCGAGGTCGCTCGACGGCTAGTAATTATAATTGTAATGTAACTAATCTAATTAATTATAATCTACCTTTCTAATATCGCCTTCCAGTAACATAGATTAACTTTAATCTCGGTTCAACTTACTCTTCATTTTTTTTTCCAATTCTAAAAGAAGAATTAGTTGAACCGAGATTAAAGTTAATCTACATTGATAAAAATGAGCATAATTCAACTTAATTTAATTTTCTACTATATTTTGACATCGTTTATATTCATCCATCCGTTGGCGTTTGTTTCGCACCATTGAGATCCAGGGCTGCTCCAATTCACGCTCACAACGCTCATGAGCATCATTTCTCCTTGTTTTTAACTTTGGGTGCTTTTCATTTAGTGACACGAGCCGACACAAACATCATTTTATCTCTCTTGGACTCAGCTTAACTTGAGGTTGAACTTAATCTGATGATAATGTAAAAATTGTATTTTCCTATAATTAATCACTAAACTGATGATTTTGTAATAAGTAACTTTTGAAGTTATCATTACAAAATCTTCAATTTAGTGATCGATCATAGCTAGAAAAACACAATTTTTACGTTATCATCAGATTAAGTAAAAATATAAACTACAAGTTAATTAGAAAATAAAAAACAGAGTCTCGATATTCCACAAATAACAAAGATAGAACGATTTATCAAATCGACCTGAGTCAAATGGAAAGTCTTTGATGAACAATAAGGGTGAAATGACTGCGTTCAGCAGAAGAAACAGTTTTCTAACTTTTGTAAAATTCTTTAATATGAGTAATTGATACAGTTAGGTTCAGTGAGTAACTATAATAAGGGTAAGATCAATCATATTAACCCTTTGGATCTCATTCGTGCTTTACATTTCTTTTCTTCGAAAAATTAAAAGCATCGAGTAATTAATTGTAATATTTATATTTTTTTTTTTAAATACACAATCTAGATACTTCCTAAAGATATTGATGTATATGTAAGAATCACTTAGTAATTTTTGTACATCTATTAAAATGATAATTATTATAATTCAGGACACGAAAGATCGATCATGTGTAGTAAAGGATCGGAAAATCATTGTACTGAAGATTAAAAAATTGTATAGTTGTAAAGCTGTTTTTTTTTTTTTACTAAAGGCAGCCAATGATTCTATGAGTGAACGTGAATTGGACCAGCCCGTTTTCGAATTGGGTATTGAAATGATTCGCTCGAAGGCGGGATTCAGGGATTCACGAAGTGACCCAGCAAACAAATCGACATTATTTGTCATTTTGCACTGGCAAAAATTTGTCAAGGAGGGCTCGTTGCAAGCGAAATTTTTTCAGGTCAAGTATAAAAAAAATATTGAATTATTATTTTAATTGTTGCATCGGAAAATTATCATTTAAATTGAGTATTTTATAAAACATTTTATTTAAAATTAAATTAATACAAAGAGGAAGAGTAATATATAATGGAATCCATATTATTTATGTATAAGAGTTTCTTAAATTAAAAAATATTTTTGGAATATCAAAATTGTGATTAATTTTAGATATATTTAAAAAATGTACAACATGCTATAAATATTTTTAAGAGGAGACTCCGAGAAGAGGAGACATGACCCTACACTCGGTGAATCCGCCAGTGTCATTTTAACATAAAAGACGTCATTTTGACGTCAAGAACGACCAACGATGAACAACGCCAGTCCATTTGCTGGGGAAATTGCTGGAATCCTCGGGAATTTTCACCTCGCGAGTTTTCTCCTCGCGATGGCGCGTGTCAGCGATCGAGCCTTTCGCACATCAAGTCTCGAATCGATCTCGCGCGGAGGGGGGGG